CACGTGATTCATCACAAATTATCATATGACCCGTAGGGCCCTGCGCACGGTTTCGTTGGAAAACCATATGAAAAAAGAGTCCCGAGGGCCGTACGCGTCAAGTCAAAGGGCCCCGGAAAAACGCGTACGGACCTGCTAGAAAAGCGCTCGCGAAACGAGGCAAATGCTGCCATGAACTCGTAATCGTTTAAATGCTTATTTACTTATTCCGGCCCTCCCACTCATTGAAAAAGTACATGCCTTATTTCCTCGTGAATAGCCGTCAATCGATTAATCGCCAACCTCGAATAATAGTCCCACTTTATGATTTAGAATTTAGACCAAAATATTTAAAATACCGTATTTATTCGATTAACCGCCCTGGCCCGGGTTGCTCGAAGCATGGTTAGTGCTAACTAGCGTTAAATACCATGGAAACCTTTACATTTTGATACCTCTTAACCAACGGTTAGCGCTAACCAGGCTTCGAGCAACCGGCCCCAGGGCGCTTATTAAATTTTTGGACCTTGAGAGTGGGCGCTTATTCGAGGCTGGGCGCTTATTAAATTTTCACCATTTTAAGTAAGTGAAGTATGTTTATTTTGCAACAAAATAATAAATGCTAATAACAAAACGCGACGGAGTAACAAAGCAAGGTTTCTGTAAAATACTCTGAAGAAAACTCCGTCCTCGGGGAAGTCTCTTATTAGAATTTATTCACTCAAGTGGGTGGGGTGGGGGTGAGCGCTTATTTGAGTTTGATTGGGAGGAGGGGGGGTGGGTGCTTATTCGAGGCTGGGCGCTTATTAACTTTTTCGGCCTTTAGGATGGGCGCTTATTCGAGGTGGGCGCTAATTCGAGGTTGGGCGCTTATTCGAGTAAATATGTTAATCGCCTCCTTCGAATAATTGACCCCCCGCCCCTCTTGCCTTCTTCTCTTTCTTTTATCCCCTCCCTGCCAAGTCAAAGTGGAGCGGTCTGATCCAGCAAAACTGATCAGTGACAATTCAAGCTGACGCCGAAAATATTGACATTGAAAATTAATCAAGGAACCAAATTTGGAGCACTTAAAAAGCTCATATGTAGTCATTATGTTTCAATGTGATAAAGGGCACGACTTCCAGTGAGCAATACAATATTTGAAATAATCTCCTCCGTTGAATAATCGCCTTCCCTCGAATAATGACCCCGGACCCTTTTAGTGCGAAAAAAATAATAATCGCCCCCGGTTATTATTCGAGGAAATAACGGTAATTTAACATTGCCTCACATTGCTAGCACCGTTGGAGATAGTAAGACAAGATTTGAAATAAGAATTCGGAAGAATTTATCAAATGCAAGCTTAGTCTAGCGGCGACAAAATTCTTCGCTATTTTCTTTTACACCCGGTGACTACTGGAGTTGAATAGAATTGATGTTTTTTCAGTCCTCGTTGAAATATCCCTTCTTTATGATTTTATGGTGAATGGGACTTCATTTCATTTCCACTTCCATCATATACATCATGTGTTTCTTGCCCATTATGGCTCTCAACACTCCCTGCTGATGATTGTCTTTGAATAAGAGTGTACCTTGAACCACTGGGACTTGAAATAACAGAGAACGACTTTGTAATTTCAGCTGAAATTCTTTGCGCTGACGGTGCTTTCTCGCTCTTCTTGACTTTTTTCACCTTGGAAGAAAATTCCTCCTCGACGTTTTTAGCCTTTTTCTTAATTTTCTGCCTTGATAACTTGCGTCTCTTTGAAGTCGTTGTTATGTCAAGAAGTTTCAGGTTTTTGTGTAATTTATCCTCTCTTTTGAAGAAGTTTTCAAACCCATTCGACTGGTTTATTGGGGGCAATTTAAGCGCTTGTTGGTGTCCGCGAAACTCGCGAATTTCTTTTTCAAAATCCAGCGGTGTTATTGTTGGCATAACTGTTCATCTTATGCCACCACCAATTCAGTTAACCGTACACAAACTTGAATTTAAAAGTTTTAACTTTTAACTGCAAAGCTGATGGGGACATAAAAATTTAATGTATTTTCTGACGTGTAGCGTTTAGTAACAAATGAAGTTATCTCCTAATGAGAATAAGCAAGCCGCTGATTTGTCATTGTAAAATTAATAATTAACAGCAAATATAGAAATGTTGAGTTTTTCACAAGTACTAGCAATTTACATGTCAAAATTGGAACATTGCTATAATTAGAAACACCTGCGTGATACTCTGTTGTGAGTGAAAATGAAAAATACATTCTGAGAGAGATCCAAGCTGGTGATTGTTTTGGTGAAGTTTCAGTCCTTTTTAATATCAAGTGCACTGCTGACGTGAAGACAGTGAACAGGTATAGAGAAGTATTCAGGTGTTTGATTTAAATTTTGACAGTGGTGCCATTAATTGTGAAAGTTCTTTTTTCGTTTTTCGAATAATGCTAATTATTGCTTTGTAAAGGTACTTACAATTACTTCATGTTTTGGTGAAATAAATAAAAAATAATCAAACTGGTGATTTGCTGTGTTGCTATGATGGAAAAGAAAGCAAAATGCAATGGATATGGTTGATGAGAAATTAGTACATTTTTATGTGAAAGGAAAGATTATAAATCAAGCATTGCTTTTAAAAAATGAAGTGTTGTTTTATAACACTGTAGTTTAATGAAGTGATTTTTAAACTTCTACAAAAATCTGTCAATTCTTTAATGATTCTTTGGTCTTTATAAAAACATAAAATGAAGATAAAGAAGTTATAACTGGGTAGCCTCTTGATGTACATAATGTCGTGAAAAATTATTGTGAGGTATATATTATGTGTTATTGACCAAGCATGAGGTCAATATGGCTGGATATTAGTTCTTTTTTGCATTTTTATTGACCAAGATGAAGTAGAGGTCAATATTCAGTCCATCTTGACCAAATAAGCTTGGACAATAAAAGATTTATTATATGGCCAAAAAGTGAACATTTACTTGCGGGACCAACGTGGGAAATCCCCAGCAGGCAAGATGGACCCGTCTTGCCTGCTCAGGTAGCCTATCAGAATGCAGGATTCACTTCATCTTGCCTGCTTGCGGATTCAGCCTTATAATAAAGCATTGTACACCAGGATCTTAGAGTTATTCAAAATGATTCGGGTTTCCAGGCACTTATAAAGTCTACTTTGGATCACTTTGCTCCTCTATCTTTTCAATTGACATGTGTCCATTATCTTTTTGTCTTTTACAAGGTGTGTAATTTTGTTGCTAAGAACTTCTGATGCTCGTCAACTGTTTATATTTCCAAGTGAAGTGACGCTGTTGCAGTGGTTTCAACAGAGGTTAGTGTCACCTATCTCATGTGATATAATGGTTGCTAAAATAAATAAGTTAATGTGATAATTTTGGAAAACCTGTTTCTCCTGTTGTTCCGTTATATAGCAATAATGTGACACATGTATAAAGTTTAGGTCCTGTTTGCACTATACAAAATTTTTTTTTTGTTTTGCAAAAAATCTGTCAACAGGAAGACATTGCTAGTTCAAATAATTTTTTTGACGTACCAAAATGTTCTCAAGCGTAACCAAACTTCAAAGATTCCATACAGAAAGTTCAGAGACCTACAATTTTTTGTCAGTTGACAAAATCCTCTGTTCTTTGACAGCTGTGTATAAAATGCTCTAGGCAATTTGCTACAAATGCAAGATGACGTTGTATATAGCTCTACCAACCAGCATGGAGTATACATGTTATTGCGGTCAAGTGCCTGTACATGTGTATTTAAGTAATATAAAAATTTATTGGTTCCGTCTAATTATGTTATTACCTGAGCTAAAAGCTGGGGCTGATTATTCACTGAAAATGATATTTATTATCTGTGTGTGTTTGTGCTATTAATAGGAGATACTTTGACACCAGTAAACTGTTCAACAGTCATCAGCTGTCTCGTGAGATTGCTCTTGATGTGCTACAAAGGGTAAGATCTTGATATTCAGTAATAATTAAAATTATACCAAAAGTAATTTAGGAACTGTATATCAATTTTAAGCAAATTTTTAATTCTATTACATGTAGGTTCCTTAAAGTAATTTATTTTTGTATTATAGTCTCCAGTGTTGCATGGTTGGAAGAAAGAAGCTTTAGATGCTCTAATAAAGACACTTAAACCTGGTAAATTAAACTTAAGTTAAAAAGATATTTTATTATCATTTTATTATTTAAAAATAATAGTAATTTGAACTATTCAGATCAGCAACACCTGACTGAAAAAAAAGGTTATTGTTGTGTAAACTACCGAAATTGATTGAGGAGCACCATTACAGTATTTTGTTCTATGCTGCTGTAAATTCCACAACTCATGGAAAAACTTCTGAATTTTATTTATTTTTAAAGTTCAGTTTTACATGTATACATGTACTTGACCACGATTTATTTAGGGCTTGCATATTTGCCAGACAATGAGAAAAATGTTTAACAGAAAAATAACAGGACCTTTTTAAAGGAAAGTATTATTGTTACATTGCAGAAATTATTATGCTGTATCCTGCAAATAGCATTATTACCAAAGAAGGATGGAAGGGGCAGGAAATATTTATTCTTGTTCATGGACAGTAAGTACATTGTACAAATTGATATTATATTCCCTCCTGTGTAATTGGCTTAATTCACTTTTTTTGTTTTTATAGTTTGAACTGCTTTAAGACTGAGTGACTGCTGTAACTGAATTTTAATACGAAAAAATAGAAATCCTCTGTTTAATAATACAGTGGAACGTCCTTGTGACCACCCCTTATTAGATTCAAATATCAAAATTTTCCTGGTCAAAGTTCTGTGATAAAATTAAACCTCTCATAAAAGACTACCCTTTTCATTGTTTTTAACTTCTTGTAATTAACCACTTGACGTATGGTCTGACCTCTGACCTGCTCCTTGTTCATTGAATATACTACGCCGCTGAAAGTATACAAAGAACTTTCATTGACAAATTGAAACCACTCATATCATAGCTTAGAAATTAAGTGCAATAAATTCTCTTCCAAAAAGAAAATGTGTCTGGACTTTTCTCGGAAGAGACCTGTTGCGGTTTGATTTCCATGAGTGATCTCCCATAAGCAATCACGAAATTGCATTTTGGGCGGTCGCTTATGGGAGGTTCCACACTTTATAATGGGCAGTGTCTTGGTGCTGGGGACAGGTGAAATCACCAAATGACGTAATACAAAAGCATGAAAAGACACCTCACAATACCCAAACCACTACACAATAGCTAACCAACGATAGTTTCCTCAACACCAAGAAAAAACTGTATAATGCACCGTGCCCAAATAGACTAGGCACTGATAAGGTGGTGTGGCAATCTTTACGCTAAATATTAAGGGCACTAATTTTTATTTGCGTTTGCCTTAGAACCTTTATGATGATCCAAGAGAAAAGAAAAACTAGCATTCAATTTGTTTAGGAGTTTTCAAACCAAAGAAAAATTTGAACCACAATAACATGGTATTTGAAACTGAGACAATGGTTAATATGAACTCACTGTTTAGTCTATTTGTACTCACCAGGGTGACGTTTTCCACAGGGGACCAAGAGCTTGCTACTTCTGCTGCTGGAGAAAAAGGCTTCTCCTTTGGTGAAGAAGGTATGTTGTTGTTAACTTCCCTTTAAGGGGCTATACATGTACATATGTGACACCACAGTTAAGGAGTGGAATAGACGTGAGGACTGTCAGACTCCTCTGTTATATATCAGGGGCATCCAACGGCTGTTAAAATATCTGTTTGGAGAAGCAGATGTTGCCTCGAATTTTCTTCTGCTTGAGGACAGCTAAAAATTTCTAGATGACCGTTCCTTTCACGAACAATTTTCAAAGGAAAAGCTTATCTTATAAATTCCCTACAATTTTCTAAAGTTTAATTTTTCACATTTCACTCCCCAGGTTAGGCTCTTTTTTAGAGAAAAAAGGAAACCTGAAATTTTCGGATTCAAAAATGTGATGGAGAGAGGAATCAGTAAAATTCTCACTTTCATAATATGTTAAATTGCCTCTAAAATTTTTGGAAAAAATAATACTTTATCCCTTGAAATTTCGAAAAAGACTCAAGTTCGCCTAGGGTGACCGAGCAGCTATGAATTTTAAAGCGCCATTTAGAATGCTTTTCTGCAGATCTAAAAGTACTCTGGGTAGCCTGAAAAGTGTTTTCAATGGATTAGGAGGAAACAGTCATTGGGTGGCCCTGACATTTGTGGACTGGAAGGTGCACAATGTTCAGTAGCGTGTGTATCATTAATTTGGATCTTTCTGACCAATAAAAGTGTCGCATTAATTTATTCTCTGACAAGCAAAATAAAAACTTAAGGATTTTATGTGCAGAGTCAGGGAGCTCCTAACATACAGCTGTAATCTGCAGTGCTGTTGTTTTTATCTTTGATGTTTGCCATTTTTTATAAGCAGTCTCCTCTACTAACTATGGTCATGAAGATATTGCTGCTGTTGTTGTCAGTTCTCATCTCTTGTAAATTCATTTTTCAGATCTTAGTATTCTAACAATTCAACTTTATTCACATGTTAAAATCGGCCTCGCCTCGGTTTTCTGTTCAACATGGGTTACAAGCATTAAATCAGAGAAAGATAGATTGATTCACTGAAAAGAAAACCAAACTGACATAAGAAATTGCTCAAAAGATGAAAAATTAATGCCTCGAAAAGCATCTACTTACACTAGGGTGAATTGTCTCTCTGTTTTCAGTTTTTATATTCACATATCTTCAATTCTTCTCAACTGCTAGGAAAAACTGAATTTTAAAGCTTGCACTCGCTTTTAAACCTACCGGGTACCCTTAAGGGAATTTTAGGGGACACATTGCTATGGGCAACCAATTTAATTAAATAACAGCTGCTTTTACAATGTACAGTGCTGTAGGTCAATTGTGTGCTTTAGTGATTTTATTAAGTGCCTTTACCCATACACAAAAAATAATGCACCTGTAGAGTTATGAAGAAGATATTAAACAAAATAGTTCCATCACAGAGCACTCTACACTAACCATGACATTTTTTTGGTGATTTTACTGAGAAGGAATATCATCAAAAATTGAATAAGCTGGCCCAAATTTTCAAGTTTCAATCTATGTGGAATCCTCACCATCCCTTGCAACAGAAGTCAGTAAAGCTTCAAAAACAAAACCCAGCTTCTTCTTCTCAGTAACTGCAGCCACTTGTTTTTTTCGTAAGGGGGTTATGTCATGTTATAGATCAGTGCTAGCACTTTTTCTAATCAATTGAATTCCAAAAATAATGGTCCAGTTTTAATAATACATGTACATGTATTACTAAATACAGTTTTTTTACTACCTCTCAAAAGCGACCATCTCTTAGATAACAACATTTGCTACCATTAATTAAAGTTGATTTCAGACTGTACGTTGGGGTACGGGATGTTGAATGTTTGTCAGAAGTGGTGTAAGTTTTCTTTTGAGTGAAAGTTTTGCTATTATGGAAGGAATTTAATTGTTACCATAAATATTTTGTCCAGGCTTCATTGTGAGTATACAACACCATTCAAATGTTGTGTGACATTGTACGAATAAATACTGCAATTTATCATTCAGGTTTTTTCACTGGGACTGAGAGAAGATCCACTGTGAGGTAATACTTCAGATAAAACATAATCTAGACCCATGGTTCCCCTCTGAATAATAGGCCCTCATAATCTGAAAATTACTACTGTCAAACCTCTTTAATACGGACACCAAAGGGACAGAACATACCAAGTGTCCTCTTTACAGAGCTGTCTGGTCCGTATTATAGAGGTAGAGAATGTACGATTTTTGGCATTTCTGGGACCAAACGAACTGTCCGTAATGGAGAGGTGTCAGTAAGGAGAAGTTTGACTGTATTGTCACAATCTGGAAAACAGCTCTAGAAAAGAAATAATAACAACATATAATTATTTTGTACCCTTAAAAAATTGTATTAGCAAGGCTGTGCTCTAAGGAAAATTGAAGGGAGCCTAGTGCTCTGAAACTGTAAAATCTAGGGTGCCGAGCATTTGATTTGTATGAAAAAAGTTAGATTCGCTAGTCACCTGCAAGCAAAAGTTAGGCACCATGGGCCACCGTGCTATGCTAGAGCACAGCCCTGATTAGTAATACATGTATTTAATAATAATAGTTATTGTGGGATACAAACTACATGTACAGTGATTTTGTTACAAATAGTTATGGTGAGTCCTGGGACTCATCTTGTGAAAAATCATGAGTCCCTGCTGTCCATAACCAATGAGTCGCAGTTCAAAATAACAAGGAGTCTTAAATTGAAAATGCTTTGGCTTTTATGCAAGCAGACAATTAATCTGGAGGCAGACGCCAAAACTCTTTATTACAGTTTACTGAAATTAAAATGTATAGTCCGTCTATGATATTTAAAGCACAAAAAAGACAAACAAATATGCATCTTTAAACAACAGCCACAGAAATCACATGGACAGGATATAATGTATGAATGAACTTGCTAAAAATTAGCCTCCCCGCAGACGTCCTTTGGGGTTCGTTTGTCACGCATTCATTTCTCCTTGTCAAGTTAAAAAGCTGAAAGTGAAAAGAAGTATTGTTTGTTCTTTAGGTCATCTGGGCCTTGCCAGGTCATTACACTCCGAGAAGAAAACTTCCATGATGCTTTCAGTCAGGTTTGTTGAATGATGATTTATTTATTATTAGAAGACAATTTAATTATTACTATTCCAGTTGGCAAAGAAAATGTGGACACAGTAATCCAAACTGTGCAGGTGTATCATATTAACTTTAACATGCCACTTGATCCCATACTGTACATAAATAGTGTCAATATTTATGGGTGGTTTATAAGGTGTGAATGTGTTAAGCTACTATGCTGTAAATTATCTGTCTATTGTGAGGTCCACTCTTATTTGCCTGCACTGTTTTGACCAGGGACCTTGTTATTCCTCACTTGTTGCTGTTGCAACATCTAATACAGCCGTTTTGGGTGGGCCAACATGTTTGTTCAAGTTTCAAGATATCTTGAAGACTTGTGTTTCATAGCATTTTGCAAATTTCAAATGAATCTTATGAACACTGGTTAGAAAGCTATGTAACATCCCATGATATCTAAAGCGCTTTAATATTAAGGTATCTGATTTCATTAACTTTGTCTGCTATTTTAATTTTGTTCCCTGCTTGCAGTTCACAGCAGAAGCATCTCTACTGCAAGAACTGAATGTAAAGTGGAAACAACAAGTAAACAAGAGAGATGCTGAGTTGTACACAAAGTATGGAGGTGCTTTGGATCTCGAGGTTTGAAACTTTCTTCCTTTTTCTTTCCATTTACATTGATGCTCATATACATGTAGATGTAGATGCCTGTGTAGAAATAATTATTGTATTGTTCTTTGCATGTTGTCCATACTTAAAACACATTGATAATTGCCTGCTAAGGAGGTTTTTTCTTCTTCTTTTTTTATCATTTGTGATGAGTTCTTTCATTTCCTCGTTACTATTTTTGTTTTGGATATCTATAGAGCTTGAGGTGAATTTTAATATTTGTACAGTGTCACAACTTTAATTTTTTGAAATGTTTTTGGGGGATTACATTTAGCTTGATGTATATTGTCTTGCTATGATACCTTCTTTTCCTAAAAGACTTCTTGATTTAATTAACAATTAACAGTGTTTGTTTCTGTTATGGTTTTCTTAGATTTTGAGGATGACTTTGAAGCAGGTAAATAAAATAGTTAAAGAGTGGTGATTGCAGTCTCAGACAAAAAAAAAAGTCACTTGTACCCTGCCGTTTTGGATTAAAATAAACACTATGATGATGTTAATTTCACAATTGCGAAATATTAGATCTGAGGAATTAATATATTTGTTACATTTTTAATATTCGTCTCGTCCAGGATTGAATGTTAGTAACCATGTGCTAGTCCATCGCAGGGTTATCCCCCAGCAGTATGTCGCCGGTACCCATTAATACACTTGAGTGAAGAGGGACAAAGTGGAGTAAAGTTCCTTGTCTAAGGAAACGCGATGGGCGAGGCTTGAACCTCGGACCTTCAGATCTTGAGTTCGAGGTGTTAACCACTCGGCCACACACGCCTCCACAAGCGGCCAAGAGATCCTTATGATTAAGCATTCACAACTGTTGGTATAGGGAAAAAGTTTATGAAAACTACGGATGATCTTGTCAAATATGAAGTAATATAAACATTACAAATAATCGTGTCAACTACGAAATACTCGCTCAATAATTGTTACCTACATTCACTCCGGAGAAGTGGTTGCCAAATTAAGTAATTAGAATTTAAAAAAATTAATTGAAAAGAAACGAATACGAGCAGTTAAATTAGTTTAAATTTAAATGGTTGGGGTTTGTTTACCAGACAGATGAGTTCCAGCACTGTCCTCCTGGTTTTTTATATCTTATTGCATTGTCCATGGTCATCAAGGAAGTTCGAGCAGATGAAGCTGTGCTGTCTAAGAGACAATACCAAGATGGTAAGATTATACTGTTCTGCAAAATTTATCAATCACTAACAACCACGGTGGTACAGATAGTCCTACTCAGTGAATCGACTCTTATATCGCCTGATGAAGACCTACAGTATGCGGTCGAAACGTCGCGATCAATATCTAGGTGAATCATGAGACAAACTATAAACGAACCGCTTATATCATTTAAGTTGTTTCTATTTTTGAGTAGTGAAAATTCAGATAATCACTAAAAAATTAATTTCCGTTATTTACCCTTGGCAGTGTTTATAGCACTAATGCTAGTGGGGGCGAGCAAATTCCTAAAACGAACAATTTAAATCAAACATAATGTGGTTAAAAATCCCAACTGGCCTGAGGCAAACCAGTTGGCTATTTACAAGCGTGGCCAAGGATTTGGTTAGTATACAACTAGCATGTCGAGTCTGTGGACGAAAATGCTAAACTGTGACCATTCACTTACCCAGGGTTTTTCAGGCCATTTGGCGAAAATTGCCTATTTGTGGTGTTTTTTTTTTTATAGCTTTTAAATATTTTAATCTTATTATTGTTATTTTTTCTTTTGGTGAAAAATGTGTTTAAGGCCTCGTCCAAATTAATCCGTATATTTTCGAAACCACATTTTTCTACGCGAAAATTATCGACTTTCCGCCCACACGAAAACAGGGAGTCCGCGCGAAATATTTCATTCGCGGACTATTCGTGTAAAAAATATGAAGTTTCAAAAATACCCTGATTCGTGTGGATGAGATCCGGCTTAATCAAGGGATGGTAGCATTTATACCTAACCCGAATCTGAAATCCCAGTGGTACTAGGGAGCTTAAGTAACAACTACGACGACGGCTACAAAAACGCCATTAAAAAGTGAATTCGCGCTGCTTCCAACGTATTCGCTGTTATTCCATCTCGTTCAATTTGTCAAATGTTGGCAAATGTTTCTGGAGTTGAATTCTAAAAGACCGGCTTTTCCAAAGTTCATGTAAAGAAAAAGAAAGTTGAAATCTTGTGTTCACGTCCTAGACCAACCTGAAATTAGGCATTTTTTACGTTGTAGTCGTGCAGCGACGGTAAAGAAATGTACAAAAAAGCATGATGCACGTGCGAAGTTGTTGTTTTGCTTATTAAACCTACAACTGTACTGCGCTGCGTTTTTTTCCGTTCTTGTTGACGTTGCCGTTGCCGTTGCCGTTGCCGTTGTCGTTGCTTAAGCTCTTTACTATTACCGTAGGCCGGGCCACATACTCCACCATATAGTGCTGGGTTTAAACGTGTCCTCTGTTAGGAGCTTTACACAGATGGAAGGAGTATTTTTTTTTATAAATCCTTTTTTTAAAGTTACCCTGTTTAAGGTTGTTGTACTTGTTGAAAGAAAAGAAGACACGTACCCTACTGTCTATGAATCGTACATGGCTTGAGAATTTTAAGAAACATTTTTTCTCTTCCAAGATAGATATTCACGATGTTTCTTAAGTTGAATGATTGTTTGTATGTTTTTGTAGGTGGTACTCTCTTTGTAGTACTCCAAGGAAGTGCTGAAGTGATGAAAGATGATATATCTGCATCACACACCGTGGGGCTTAAACAAGTCTTCTGTAAGCAGTTTTTGCGTTAAGTGCTGCTAACCGAATGAATGCACTCAAAAATTGCCCGCTTCTGATCAAATCAAGGCTTGTTTGGCGGGCGGGGAGAGGAAATGGTAGGGGACGGGGAGATGGTGGGGGGAGGGAAGGTGGTCGAAAACTCGTCACAGTTACAGTACTCGTCACAGTCAAAACACTCGTCACAATCACAACACTAGTCATAGTCACAACACTCGTCACAGCCAACAGACTCATCACTGTCACAACACTCGTTTTCAAATTCCGTTTTTTCACGTCCAGCACAGCTGTACATAGGTTATGCAATTTCTGGCTGAATTCGTGGGTTATTCGATAACAGCTTATAAAAGTATAGCGTTTTGCCAATAATCAACCCCAAGAAAGTTGTGGGTTTAGGTAGTTTCAGACCACTGAAAAGAACTGTAGATAGCGTTATCCACCGGATAAATCACTATCTAGAAGTTAAGTATTAGGGAAACCAATTGCGCTATCTAATGGATAGAGATTTATCCAGTAGATAGCGTTATCCCCCTTTTGAACAACTAGCCGGCCTGACAATTACCCGTTTGTTCCTACCCACAATACTAAAAAAAAAGGTTAAAGGCTTGTTTATAGTGGAAAGAGCACTTAGCTTGTCCAGGTAATTTACAGGCACTCCACTCAAATATTAGAAACAAATAATTCAAATACAACATAACAGGATTAAAAACCCCAACTGGCAGAAGGCAACCAGTTGGCTATTTACAGCCGAGAATTTGAACTCGGGACGACCGAGCACAAATCCAGCAAGTGGCCAGAGCGGGACTCGAACCCGGGACCGCCGGATTGCGAGTCCGACGTGCTGACCACTCGGCCACTCTGCCTCCCGTAGATGTGATCATGTGATCATGTCTAAGTTTGTAAAGTCTAGTATGTTTCGTACAGATATCAACATCAGATTTCTCTCTCTGCAAGCCTAGTTTGTACCAGTAAAGGACACGTTAGAGATTTTTGGAATGGAAATAGATAATAATCTGAATTTTTCTAAACATATATCAAATGTATGCAAAAAGATTAATAATCAATTTAATGTTATGTTGCGCTTTAGAAAACTCATACGCAAGGAAATCTTATTCAAACTTTACAAAGCGTATATTTTACCTCACTTTTATTATTGCTCCTCTGTCTGGCACTTTTGTGGAGCGCGCGATGCGGATAAGCTCGAAGCTTTAAATAAAAGAATACTTAGATTTATACTTGGAGATTACTCGTCTCCATACAACACTCTTCTCACAAAAGTCAGCTCTACTTCTTTGTTTAACAAACGCATTCAAAATTTCCTCATTCTGTTATATAAGAGTTTGTTTTTCACTCATTTTCCTACTTATATGAAGAATATGTTTTCACTCCGGTCCTCTTCCTATGATCTTCGTGGCAACTACATTCTTTCACTAAGTAAACCTAAAACAACTACCTATGGTCTTAACTCCTTTTCTTACTTTTCAGCTAAGCAGTGGAATGCACTGCCGGACTTTTTTCGTACCAGTTTTTTTGCAGACTTTAAGACTAAAAATACAGGAATGTTACCTTCATGTAGATTCTTTTTGCCTTACATACTTAAACTTAAAATTGTGAATTGTAAATGATATTTTCTTTCCTTGCATTTAATGTATATATATATTTTCTATATAGTTTTTATGTAGTGTCAGCTCGAAGATATTAGCTTGTTAGCTACTCTAAAATTCGAGTTTAAATAAAGTTTTATGTTATGTTATGTTATGTTAAAGGCCTTGCAGACATTAAGCAATTTCGTGTTGCCTTAAGGCTTAAGAATTGTTACGCCCGAAAGATGGATTTTTGAAAACTTGTTTACCTAAAATCGCAGCTATATTTGATTGAACTGAATTGAATTGAATTGTCTCAATGGACCTCAGTCTCGCTATCCGGCAATATCTCTGGTCCACGATTATTGGCTTGCTCAAAGTTCTGCAATCAGTTTCGAGCATTGTGTACAGCCTGACAAACATGCACCAGGTATGCTTTACGGATCACTGTTGAATTACAGATAAGACTTACGATAATAGAAACAAAGAGAAACAGAAATGAAATGTTAGTATACGTATTTATTTGAAGGAATCTGCTCACAATGAACATAAGAAGTGTTAAGACAACATGTAGGATAATATTCGTGTTGATATTGAGGTTAACGAACTCAAGCTCTAAATGAGTTTGACTAGCTCCTATCTTTTTTGCTCTTTTGTAGGGAAGGCTGTCAACATGCCTGTCCGGGGATGGGTAAAAGCAACGGAATTGTGTGTGGCAGCTGTTGTCCCAGAGGGGGTAGTGAGAGAAGCCGAGAGTACATTCCCGGATGTTGTGCTTCTCAGACATTGAGCAAGCATTCTTTGGATGGAATAAGATAACGCTTAACGGGTACCGCGTCTGGGTTCTTCAGGAATTAGTTACGTGCTTGAATAGTGACATTTTGCCATCGTTTGTCTTCATTGACACCTCTTAATGGAAGTCACTCTCTTTCCTCCCCAGAGGCCTCTTTGTGTTGTGGGGAGGCTGAAAGAAAGGAGAGCGCGCGGGGCACGATGGGAAGGGGGTGAGAGGAGTGAGGCCTTTTCCCTCTTCCTATCGTCCCCCGCGCGCTTTCTATGTTTTTCACTGCGAGAAAAAGTGAATAACGCGGAGTCAAGGAGACTCACCAGCACCTCTTACTGAAGAGAATCTCAAGAAGCTTTAAAGACAATCATCTATTTGCAGACATTAAACTTCTCTAAAATACACCATAGCAAGACAAGCTAGTTTTCGGTCGGCGGGGGACGGAGAAAGTACAGACTTAGTAAGCGATGAAGCGATTTTGAAGGACTCACTCCACGAAGAGGAAAATAATGAAAAGGAAGCAATCTGTGATGAGAAAGGAAAACAAGAGCGAAACTCTCCTAACATTGTTGTTTTGGAAACCTGAGTAAACGAGAGAAAACAAGATCACCTAAAAATTCAACTCAGTTACTAGTACTGTTTTTCAATAGACCGTTGGGAGAAAGTCAAGTCTCCCTTCTAGCCTTCCCGAAACAATTAGAACCCAGTAGAAACTCAAAACAATTGAGAAGAGAAACACGTTTACTCTACAAAGAAAGGTGTCAAGAATGCCCGGTGCTGGTCTAGTCTATGCGAGGGCCGGCTGCCACTCAACTCATGTTTAAAAGGGCATTTATTAAAAAAAAGAAAAATGAAAATGTAAAGTTGACCGACCATAGTTCCATGCGGCGTTATGCCCGATTTCATTCACCAAAAGCAGCCTCGTTCCCAGTCGTCCTCGGCGATTTCGGATGTGACGTCACCTGTCAAGCTTGTAGGGAAAGTTCGCGGAGGACTCGCGCTATCGCACTCGGTTCCAAGCCTCCTCTGGTAACTCGGATAGCGCGAACTGGCCTGGGTACGAGGCTGCACCAAAAGATGGAGAATTTGTGACGTACCGTCACAGTAGCCTGCAAACCAGGCGTTTTTTGCGGAGCGAACCATGATCATACTCTTTTCGGGACTAATACTCTCCCGCCATCTTGGACGTTCAAAGGAAAGGTCAGAGACAACAACCAAGTGTAGATATTTCTGTTTAAGTGTTTATGTAGTTGTGGACACTACAAGACCTTACAACTATGCTATATCTTAAAATATTTGGAAATTTTGTGAAGTGAAAGGCCAAGGCAACCTCCAAAACACAACAGCTAAATATAAATATATCACTACTTCAACTATTGAACTAAATTTTCACTAAATAACCGTCAACCGTCTTAAGCCCTATTTAAAATTTTGCCGTCAACCGTCGAAATTGGAAAAAAAAGTAACTGTCAATCAAAGCTACTACCCCATTTAGAGTCTCCTATAGTCGATAGAGTTAGAGGTACCTCAAAAAAAAAAAAAAAAATAGTTAGACTACGAGTAGTACCCATTTTCCCTCAGGGATAGTCGAGCGAGAGAAACGCGAGCGCGTGAAAATCACCACACTCGAGAAAGGCGAGCGTACGCGCGCTTTATTATGCCTGAGGAAAAATGGGGACTATTTGTAGTCTAAAGAATAGTGTGATCCGTCCATTCATCTTTTACTTGAGAGCTTGTCTCTAACTGATTGAGACTGCAAGTCTCAGAAAAGAAAAACAGAAACAATTGTCAAGCATGTTCAAGGCAAGGTCCTTTCTCTGACCCTGGACCCGCCACGAAGAAATTAGCTTCCTTAATAGAAGTAGCGTTATTTTTAGGAGCTCCTTCGACCATTTGAAGTAGGAAGCAGAAATAATTCAACATCCTTGACATTTTTTAACCGAGGTCACGAGTGTTTAATGACGTCATGATTAAAGAAAAAGAGGAAAATGAAATGGGCTAATGGCGTTTAACTGTGGCAGGCAAAGAACCATACAGTATTCATTGACATAAATAAATTCAATTCTGTCCTGAACGAAGAAAAATCTCATTTTATTAAGAAGTTATTAGAAGAATAAAATGGTCACGTGACCTAATTTTTAAACTTATTCCTTTTGGACAGATTCTTAAGAGGAGAAACCAGACAATTACGTTGGTGTTTTAACATATACCCATTACATGTCATCTCGGCGGCTCATTTTCACTTTTCTCTTCAAGTAAGAAAACTGCTGTAATGAGTCACGTGACAAAAATTCCCCTTTCAAGCAAGAACACTGACTTAAGGATGTCAAGTTTTATGTTATTACCAAGATTCATCATGTTTACGTAAATTCTCTTAAAGTTATGACTCTTTGCAGCTTTTATCCAAATAGGCTTTGGTTCATCATGCCTTTACATGCTTGAGATTCTTGAATACTGGCTTCTAGTACCCTGCCATTAACGTTATCAAGATATAGGACACATAGGATGAGGAACTTGTGTTGTTATAACTGGCTCTTTTGCTTTGTGTTTTATTTTATACCCCCAATTTTTGACATCACCGGTTTGTCTTTAGCTGACAGGGTTGCTTGACCTTTTATTGTACTGCGAGCTAGCCTGTGTACAGCCACCCCCTCCCCTCAAACAAGGAGACGGCTGTACACAGGGTCAGCTGCGAATGCCAAGCTCTCTCCGGTTGGTTACTGGCTATTATATCCCAGGCGGAGGGGGGTAATCAGGAATTTTTGATTTTTGGGCTTTGATTTTTGCCCCCGTTTGATGAAATCCAGAACAACCAAACCCCCTGCGGTTAGCCACCCCTCTACTCGTTATATCTATTCAATACATTTTCATTCATTGTTGTATTATGTGGAAGCCGAAGAGATTCTAAATTGTCTCTGGTTGGCAACTGAGATGCGGTAGTGGTGACGTGAAACATTGAACCGGAGCCGACAACAAAGGGTTTTAAAACGCCCATCTAGCCAACCGGAAGCTTGGTTGTTATTATTCTCTTCAGGCAGACAAAAGGGTTTTTATTGTCCCACTGACGTCTAGATTCAAAATACTCTCCGCGCCCCTCGTCTGTGTATTCGTCGTCCACGTGTCTAGAATTCTACTTTCAATATCATTACTAACTGGCCTTGTTTCTAGATCATTTGAGCACGCCGGTTTCCGGCGAGAAGTGAGTATCTGCAAGATGACTAAAGTGATTAAGGTTAGAGAATGTCTGCATCGATTCCTTGCCGGATTTCTAAGCAAATTTATCGGGCCGGTGAGTATGTTTTTAGCTCTAATTTAGCTCTATATTTTTATAAGCTAATGTTCGAAGCCAAATCCAGTATTGGTATCCTTCCCTAACTGATAGCCAATACAGACAGTATCACCCACTTATAACCTTTGAGACAGTGTACGAAGGCATCACAATCATCTTCAAGTAGCTCTTAATGTCATTACGTTTAACATTGCCGAATTAAACAATTACGTTAATGGTGATTTTATAGCAAGCTATTGAAAATGATAAAAGCTGATCTTCTTTTTCAAGGACAACGTTCTCAAAAGTGATACAGTACATGTATTGACAAGAAAACACCGGCTTATAGAACAAGATTTTGTATTCTCGGTATCGGAAAATGCACCCTCTCTTTTTAATTTGACTAAAAATCGTGGAAATTATTATGCTTTTGCCATGTAAGCCACTACCAGCGATAGGTTGATTTTGAAGTAAAATGGGCAACTTGGATTGATAGCAATCGTTAATTGATATCGAATTGCTTGGCTTAGTATTTTGTTGTTGGTTGGACAGTATTATTATGAAAATTTAAATTTTGAGCGGAAGCTAATAAGAAAGTGATTTCCTTAGGTCAGTCGACCTACTCTGAGTTTTCGGTGCAATGAACAACAAAAGTGTAAAGCATTCATCAGGTCCGGAACAGCTGAAAATTCCGATCACCATCATTTCAGAAACAGTCAATTTGTTCTCCGTTCCGAAAGTATTTTTAAAACAATGAAATCTTTATCCATTTTCTCTTTTTTCATTTTGCCATACACATATATTAATTTGAAGCTTTCATTGTAAAACTGTAAGCTTATTAATGTAAATCTTCAATTTTTTTCATTTTTAATCTTTTTTTTTGAAACTCAGTTGCCTCAGTTGATAAAGTCCTGTATTAGTGCTAAAACCGCTTTAACTGCCACGGCACTGTGAGTAAGCTCTATAATAGCTTATAATAAGGTATACCTATGAATGTGAAATTGAATTACACTAAAATAACGCATTGTCGACAAAATTCGGTGGTAACGATTTAAGAACGATTAATAAAAAGCGTTTTCGTAAACTCCCTGGCCGTCATCTATGAATATAGTAAGCTCGAACATTTCAACTTGGTTTGTTTGTGGTTTATACGCGTAGCTCAATTATGTCTTTTTTATCAAAAAGAGGAAGTTTCAGTAGTTAAGCAGGGCTTGGTCAGGAAACTATGCCAGGTGTTTACAAAACGCGGCGATTATAGCTGAGCCCACACCCTAATCAGTCTTCTAGTGCATTAATTATGTGACAGTGAAAAGAAAACAAAAAATATTGGACACCTGGTTTTGCAACGGGTGGGACTAGCATAGCTTACTGATTGGCCTAAAAAAACAATAAATAATATCAAAAAATATAATCGCACATAAAATGAACTCACTGGCTTCCTTATACCTAAGTATTCGCGAAGTTCAAGATCTTAGACGTTTTTTCAGCATCGTCGATTCGGTTAACAGGCAACCCTCAACCTGAAATGAGAGCGACGAGTACAGTTACCCTTTCGACGGGCGCATTGTGACAATTGCAATAACCTGCGAATGGTACTAAAATCTTAAGAAAGGTCAGCTTTAGCTTGTGTCACGCTTTCAGATAGTAGGGAGGTCGCGAAAATAAAACATGCACAGCGAAAATCAGACGGGCGCGAATCGACGCCCGTTCTCTTCCCAGCCCCCGCGTGTTTTTCGCATCACTTTTTACCTAACGACTG